AGAATAAGATTAGTTTAGGCCATGAAATAATTGTAAATTAACTATCAAGAAATACTTTCTTACATTCACACCGAGCTTCCATTGTAAAAGAGACCTCTATGCAATGCAAAAATTACACAAATCGATGCATGTTCTCGAGAGGTATGCAATATATTAAGTGTGAGGAATAGCCACACAAATACTATAGAAATCTTGCCGTGATAATCAGGGTGCATATATACATATATATAAATTAACGTCTAAAGCCAGCTCACCGCCTGTAAAGCTAGAGGCCACTTTGTGATGTCTGAGGGCGCTAACAGCTAAAACCGACTTCCCATGACCAGGTGGACCATGGAGTAGGAGCCATCTATTTTTCATGGATGGTCCTACTGGGGAAGTGTGATGATCCTCAAGAGAAGAAGGGCAAAACAGACTAAATTCCTCATCCAAGGCAGCAGTACCGGCCACGCACAACTTCTTTTGATTTATTGAAGAGGAGTCGCATCTGGGAGTCGTAATAGGATATGAAGATTCAGTCAGATAGCATATACTGTTGGCCAATTTCTGAGTCAACGTAGGGCGTGGTAGGTGTCGATATGGAAGATCTGGTACATGACCCTCCAAGAGCATACGTTGATGTATCAAGGATCCACCGCCAGATGTAATCTTCTTTGCCCTTGAAATACGAACGCAAAATATATGCCCGATGCAATAAAACGAGACTAATGCGATAAATTCATTTTGGGACTTAATAAGAGGAAGCCCATATATCCTTATAACGATATGAAACCAACAAGTGAACGCATTTTTTTATTAATGTAAGGGACTACAGTGTATAATGATAGTAAAAAGTAGTACATATAAAACAATGAAGAAGCACTATCTCACCTCTCTGAGGAACGCTTCAAATGTGTTTTGATAGTTTGGGAAAGAAAGGGATAAGTTTCATCCAATGCCTTCAAAAATTCATCAAACGCATTATCCGGACGCCTGATAAGTTCATCCAAAAAGAAACGAGCTCTGGCCCTGCGAGTCAACTCAGCATTTATTCTATCTACATTATCCTGGGTGAAATATAATCTAAGATAGTCAAGCACATCAGCAGGATCAATTGTTTCTAATATCGAAACACGACAAAGATCGAGAGCTTCCACTTTACATCTATCCATTATATTTGCTTTTTTGCGTAATTAATCATGCATTCACGAAATTCTCTAACTTCTTTTTGACAGCGTCGCCAATCTTTATGTTCATAAGTACATTCCATTACAGCAAAATGTCGTTCTAGGCAACCTGTTTTACGAATCGTTTTTATAAGATCGTCCTCGTCATCGTCGTCAGGCGTGTCATTAGAAAGAGGGTTAGTATTCATCTAGGCGCCTAAAGGTTTAAACAAACTTAAAAACTTAAAATATTTAGATAATAGTGCTTTTCACTTTTAAAGTAATAAAACTTTTAGTTTCACAAAAGAGGCTTGGAGATCATTGAGAATAGTAAGTATATTCATGGAATTAAAAAATGAGAGTGACTTATTGATAAATTAAGATATAAAAGTATAATATGAGTAATTAAAATTTATTAAAAATGGCTTTATCTGTGAAGTTTATCCTTTCACTAGCCATCTGCTTAACAATTGTGGTAATTCTCCTTCTCTCCCTGTACACTCACCTATCCCAATTCCTCGTATCCTCACTTTCATTATCACAAATTCTACTTTGCTTATATTAACCTAGTATCGACGCGCCTGCAACTATAGTAAAGGCCACGCCGTTTAGGTCTTCGCACCTAAGACCGTATACTTTTATGCATAATTATTGGAGGTTTTCGCCTATCAAATTAAAACCAAATTGTTTTTATTTATAAAGTCTGAAAGACATATGCTCTATTCTATATTAAATATCTCATGGTTTCTTACTTAATGCTTGCTTCATAAGTAGGTTTTTTGAGACTTCGTACTGTTCTGGTCGGATTTG